AACAGTGCTTCTTCAAGGCACATTTGTGGGAATAGAGATTATCAGCCAACAGATGCATTTTAAACTAATCTAAAATACCTTTCTTGTGCCACAGGTAGAGGACGTGAAGACATCTAAGAGGAAGAAGGGAATGAAAAACACTAAAAAAAAATTACACAATAGATTTCCAATAGGAAAAGAACACAGTTCTTCATTAAGTATTTAAAAACATATATTTTTTAAAAATTGTTCTACTGACTTGTGCTCAAAGCAGAAATGCAATTGTAGCTAGGTGTATAGTTATATATGCGAATACTCCTCGTATACTCAGTTGGGTAAGTACTCGATAAACGTTGGGTTTATAAAGTGCTAAAAATAGTTCTGTTACAGCAGATCAAAATTCAGAAAGAGACTGAGTCCACTTAAATGTACCTCAAGCCCAATCTGCCCCTAAAAGTTTCACATTAGAATACTTTATAATAATTTCTAAAATTCCAGGAATATCAAGTAGGAAGTTACTGAAATATGTAGCTAAAGAAGAATCTGTCTTCTTGAGTCTTACAGCTGTATCATGCCGACCTTAAAAATGGCATATATTATGTAATTTATCATTATTGTTTTGTTGATATGTAAGTATCTTGTGATAATATTAAATCTACACATATACAGAAATAGACCTACATAAAACGTATACTGTGATTTCTTACGATACAGCCCTGAGGCTGCCATCATATTCATCCCTCATGTTTCTTTGCCTTGTTCAGGATCACAATTCAGCATATTCTAAATCCATGATTCTGCAAAAATTCTGCTTTCTTTCCATATTCTGAGATCATTAACCACACTAAAAGCTATTCCAGTCTTCACTGTCCAATGTAAAGGAATAGAGAGGGCAGTGATTCATCCACAGATGCAGGAAGTACTGAGAACATTTGTTCGAAGAGTGAACTGAGTCATATGCTTATCCATATTTATGATGACAGAAAGTAAGGTCTGTATCTGTATAAACAAGGTCTGACATGCATGTTTGGAAGAACACATGCAGAGGTTATCCTGGGCAATGAAGACATAAAACTTATTGTGAACATGAGGCCTATGAATGTTAAAAAGTCTCTACAGTCCTTCAGATGAACATATTCGATACTATTACAGAGCCTACCCATAGAAGTTACTGACTAGAGACAAACATTTCATAGAAAGGCAGAAAACCTTTGAAAAAGACAAAGTGAGCAATGATATTACGTTAACTTTTTCATACCACTTTACACAGAAAACATTGAATATAAAGAAATTGTGGTTTGTTTTTTTTTTCAAATCGGCTGCTTCTGATAAGGCAGCTTCTTATGGCTTTGGGCTTTAGCACATCTTGCCAATCCTCCGTGGACAACAGTTTTTTACTCAGATTTTCCAGCAAATTAGTTTGACCTGTCACACTTTGGTTACTTTTTTTCCTCTGAAGATTATTGATTATTGAAGATATTTGATTAAAATCTTTCATCTTACAAGCAATATATCTTATGAGTTTTGTAAGGGCATTATAATAACATACCATCAGATTTGTCTAGAAATCTACAACACATTCCTAAACTATCAAATGTAATTTCAGCAACCATTCAGATGAATCTTTGAGCTTCATTGGTATTTATCTCTAAGGGTGTTTGAGAACATAAGTAATGAATCACAAGCATATTTTACTAAATATAACAGCTATCAGCTCAAATGTAAGAGTAGTAGCACACACTGGATTCCTGGCATGGGAGTAAAAGACAAGTTAAAAAAAAATCCAGTAACTAACAGCTTATCTACTATCTTATTTACTACTTGTTCCATGATTTTTCAAAAAATTTATTTCCTGAGGGAAAATAGCCACGTATGTGAAAGCCATTATTGTTTTTTTGCTTGTGTGAATTTGTGCACAAATTGTAAAATGTACTAAACTCCTGGATAGGTACATAACTTGGCCCCTGGGAATTCAGTGTCTCAATATGTCTAAGATTTGGGCCCTCACTGGTATAAATATAACACTAAAAGTTTTGAAATGCTTTTTGTTTATGAAAAATATGTTGGAGGTGGAATTCTATTCTAAGAGAACATGGTATTAGTAGCAAAAAAGAAGCAATATTACTGTAACTTCACTTGCTGCTGTTGCTGGAATGCTGCAATCCTAATGCAGTACTTCTTTCCTATTTCTTCCTCTGCTTGCAGTCATTATTCTCTGTCCATTTAGGAAACATTTTCTATTTCATGAGTCCCAGAAGAACTCACGGACAAGGAACATGTCCTCTTGTTCATAATGTATCATTACCATTTGGTACTGAGATATATTAATTATTCTGAAATTGTTGCCTAGTTTTTATTCACCGTGCTTGAACCAATTGCCATGGAAGCCACCAGAAGAGGTGATCAGTGAAAACGTCTCAGAACTGATGGTTTGCAAAGAGCATAGACTATTTGCTTCTAGCTTTAGCACTCCTGAATTCAGCATCAAGTTGTTTGCAGAGTGGCAGGTGTTGCCTAGTGAGTTAGGAAGATTTTGCCAGGAAATTCATGGGTATGATTAATTTGACAATGGAGATTAATGCATTCTGCAATGTCTCTGAGTTTTCAAATATCTTTTGAACCCCTCAGAGATTAATGTTTGTATACATGTCTGGAGTATTGTTTAGAGTTTATAATTCTTGCCATATACATATATAGAGAGGTGTTTTTTTTTTTTTAAGTGACATAAAATAGTAATTTTATTATCTATATTATAATGTATATTTTTTCACTTTATGATTTCCAGGATGTGTTTGATATTATCTTTTTACTGCATACACAAAATGAGCTTATCTTCAGGCAGCAGTTTGCAAAATTAAGCTTCCACATCAGGCGTGATTGGGAATGTATACACATCTCTGAAATCAGCAGGGTCCATTGAAGAACTGGCCATACGTTACAGACTTTAATTGACATCTAATAGATCCTTAGAAGGCAAGCTGCTGCTGTTTTGGCTCATGTTTATGTTTCTTTGCTTAGGTGTGCTTTCAGGTTTTGACAATTTTCCAAAAGCAAGAGCAGCTCTTTTTTAAAGAAGGAAAAACAACCTTTCCCACATGCATCAGTTTTGTAGGCACAACAAGGACCTGAAATCTTGGCCCAGGCTCTTAATGTGAGTCTGTAGAGCCATAGAGGGCCCCTACTGGCCTTGAGATATGTTGACCCAGTAATTCATTTAGTCATGGGTTATTTCATTTGTTTCCATATTATGTGTACCATAACTAACTATGCAATCATCATGATGTGTTCTGTGCCCTCATATGAGATTAAGTTGTGGTTTTTTTTGCTTGTTTGTTAGTTTATTTTGTTTGTTTTAATTTCCAGTCAGATAGAGAAAAAGAAAAGCTGGTAAAAGCAGCCAGCAGCTGGAAATGAAGTACATTTGGCACGCTTGCATTCCTTAGGCTACCTGCTAGCAAACAAGAACAAAATTCAGAGCAGCAAACGAAAGTTACATATTATACAAATCTCATTATTTGTATTTATTTAGGAGGTAGTAAACATCTTTTAGCACTGTGTGAAATGAGGATGCCCATGGCCATGGCTCTTCTAGTTTTAAACTCTAATTTGAGGTATTGCAATAGTCCCTGTAAACTGTGAAGTAATATACATGTTTTCTTCCAAAGGGAATATCATGATTTAGATGTGTTATATTTTGCAAGTGCCAACAGAATGCTAAAAAATCTCTTTCAGCTCTTTTCCTAACCCACACTGGATCTCAGATGTGAGCTGCAAGCAATTTTTGATGGTAATGTTTGTTGGAGGCCGTTAGAGGTACAGATGCTGTGCATTTGGCAACACACATCAGGAAGGCTCAGGTTGGGAATCAGAGGTCCTGGTAATACAAACCATAATATAAAATCTCAGCTTTCTAAGGAATTATTGACAGGAGTTTATTGTCAGCTTTAAATATTTAATCTAATTAAATCATGAGCCAAATCAAGTCACATGTGTGAGTGCTACTTTGGGGAAATTGTTGCAGCTTTTGTTGTATATGGATGAAGAAACAGGGGCACTGTAAACTGTTTTACAGGATTTTTTTAATGAAACTTGGAGTCTAAGTACCTTCTAGCTTCACGTTTATATAAGACAGCTAATTCTTTACAAACCAGTCAGTTCATTACAAAAAAATGAAGTAAGTTGGAGAGCACTGTGAAGAGAATCTAAAAGTGCTTATTATGTTTTATAAATATAATTTACATTTATAATCACCTGAGTGACATATCTTCCTGACAATGAAGAATTAAATTCTGGAGGCTGAGTTAAGAGACAAAGTCATGCTAAGGAAACACCGTGAAGGGCTATCAGTTAAAGACTGGTCCTGCTTGGTTCCAATCAAACTAGTAAAATAACACTTTGCAGGCTCCGTATGAGAAATTATTGTGGAGTAAGCTAAACCACAACCAAAGCGCTCAATGGCAGTTTGGGCTCTTACTTCTTTAAAAGAAACATTACATTCCCCAGGCTTGAACCTAGGGGTGTTGAACCGTTAACTGACTTCAAGCTCACACAGGTGAGAGGTTGAATAGCTTGCCAATAATTGCAGTGGGCTCATCCGCTCCCACTGAGTGCTTGACTTGGCTTCTTAGCCTGTGTCTGACATACAGCAGCTGGGTCTCTGGTGAGGCTTGTGCTCCAGCTGGGAAGGAGCAAACACCAGGCTCTCTAGGAAGCACAACCTCAGAGCTGCAGCTATTTCTCAGCAGTGATTATTCCCTGCAGCTAGGTGGTTTAGCTTAACAAGCAGTGCAGTCAGTTATCAGTTGCAGGTTGGAGGCAATGGTAATATTGACTCCTTCTGATAAGTCTGGGCATCTGCTCACATGAGTTTTCTTTTCAGTGTGTTTTGTTTTCTTGGTGGTTTTTGTGCTAAGTAGGTGGCAGTGGAATGAATTAAAAAGGAGAATGTGATTAACTGTACTAGTACTTCTTTTCCTATGCTTGATCCTGTCTAGGAAAGAGGTGCCAGGTAGAAAATGGTATTTTAAGTTGTTAGCTTGCAGTTAAAATAATATGCATGAGCTCTGCAAGTGCTTTTTCTCCTTTCTCAGTCTCTAACTCCCAGCTAAACCTGGTACATAGCTGTACCAGTGCTATTCCCCTTCCTGTTGTGGAAGTTGTCCTTTGCTCGGTGTTAGGGGGGAAGTGGCCAAGTAGCCTTATTGGCTTACAAAAGTAAGGGAAGTAAGAGACAACACTGGGAACTCCTGTTCTAACAATGTAATACTAACAAAGAAGCGTTAATGCGTAACAAAGGAAAATAGGCATCTGTTACTTAACACCTATTTCTGACCTAGTTGGATCCTTGGGATAAACTTTAATGTAATTTCCTTGTTTAAAGAGAATTTTCCTGAGCTGCTTTAATAAACTTCTACAGGAATGTGGTAAGTGAATGACTTTAGAATACGGGGAAAAAAGAAAGGTAAGAACTGAGGTTTTTCTTATTGATAAAAGTTCAAAAGGATATCAGCATACAATTTTCTAACCAAAACTTTCTTAACAAAAACAGTAGGAAAAAAATGTGCATTAAAAAGGTTTAGGAGGATCTTGTTTTCTTTCTTGAACCCAGACATATCTACAACCTATACATTCTCTGGAGTGTAAAAAATGCTTCTAGTTATTAGGGCAGTTATTAATATGAAATTAGGAAATGGAAAAGAAGCATATTATGGGGGAAAAAGTCCATCTTTTTCCTGCCTTAAAGAATGTTGCACTGCAGAAATTGTAGGTAGTGTGTTTCCAAGTATAGCTGATGGTAAAGCAGGGATAAATTGTACCCCCAAAAAAACTTCTAATCTACATTCAGTGCACTTAGCTGTGCTGAACACAGATGCATGCAATGAGACTGTTATGGTGACTTAATCACACAGTACTATCTGAAAAGAAGAGGATCAAAAAACACCTGAGACAGATACTGCTGAAAAATAGTGAGTTTTCTAGCAAATTCTTAGATGACAGACAAGGAGAAAACTATTTTCTTTTGTGCCTGTGCAAATCTTCCCTAAGGGAAAGAAGTTACTCCTTCTCTGTCCTACATGTCCTATGCAACTTCAAATAAATGCAAGAATTTATTCAATCTGGGAAGGGAAAAGGGGGGGAAAAAAAAAAAAAAGTATTAGTTTATAAAAAAAAAAATGTTACTCTGTGTTTTTTATTATGACTATTTGACCGTTGGATTAAGATTGAAAGAGATTTTTTAATTTTTTTCATCAAATGGGGTGACCAGGTGAATCCCTTAAGTGTAACTTCAGTATCACTGGGTCTAGGCTTTTCCTTCTCTGTAGTAATAAATAACAAAGCACAGTATAATACAAGAGAAGGTAGACAAATAAGGGAGAAGAAAAGCAAGCAAAGAAAGATGCATCCTGCCAAAAAGAGGTAGTACAAAAAATTAGGAGAAAAAAAGAAAATCTACATTCAAATGTTGATAACAGAATAATTAATCAGGATAAAATAGAATTAGTGTAAAATTGTAGTTTCACTGGGGTACTGGCTCAACTCCTAATCCAGTGCTTCAATTTCTGGATAATACAGAGGATATAGGAGAAGTTGACAGATTGGGTGTAAAGAAGGTAAGATTAACACTGCTGTTAGATGAATCAACTGACAATATCTGCCAACTTACATATTGGCCAATTTTATTTTATTTATTTATTTTTTTTAATTCTCACTTTCTTGCCTTTTAACAAAAAATTATGAATTTTGAGCTCGCTTTTTTATATATAATTGTATATAGAATAGAAAAAAGGTCTGAAAATGTTTCATTTTTTATTTTTTTTTTAATATTTTTATATTGCCTCTGCTGTTCAAATAATTTTAAATCAGTTTGATGTTATCTTGAAATACTCTGACATCTTTAAAAGTAAAACTCTGAAGAACCTAGCAGATGCAGAACAGACTATATGAAAAACCAATATCAAGTTCAGAACCAATCATAAATGATCATGATTTATTGCACCACATCAGAAGCAGATAACCACTAAAATCCATAATTCATTGTAATAGTATCATAGTCAAGCCTGACAAAAAGTCATCATGTTTATACTTCAATAGTTCAGATGAGTAATTTATTGGTTCTAAAAAAATAATGTACTGTAAAAATACTCACAGGGTCCTAGACTACGTCAACAATAAAAAGCTGTATTATGTATATAGGTCTGTGCACTGAAAGTGCCCTTCAAGAAGTCTCCATGAATGTATTAAGGATATACAGTACCCTGATATGCTAAGCAATCTTACTTCCCATAAACTTTTAAAGCTCTAACTTTTAGTAAAAATGCCATTGAAAATTCATTCGTTATCAGTGCCACAAGTTAGAACACTTTATTGTCCCTGGTTCCTACACTACCTTTGACAATGTAGGGTACAACTAAACTACTAAAGATTTATGCTCATAAAAGAAAACTCACCTCTTCTTCTAAATTACCTGTGAAGCTTTTTTGATTATGTGTATAATTTACAGAATTTTATTAATAATAAATGATTAAAAGCTTAGTTCCAAAGAGAAAGAAGATCATTTCTTATATATCATGCCATCCTGAGACGAGAACAATCTATCTTCATTTTGCTTACGAGTAGAAGACTAGCATTCAGAATGGCTTTTGCTCTGCAAACTAGAATCTTCACAAAAGGAAATACAAACTGATTCCTATAGAATGTAAGAAAACAAAAGGAAATCAAGTACGAGAAGAACAGTGTTTCAAGAAATTGAATAAATTTCAACAAGACAATAATATTTCTGAGTTACTATGCTTGCATGCCATTAGGACAGGAGAGGTCTTAAAGATTTCTGCTTGAATATCCAGCTGAAATCAAGATGACATCTTGCTGTAAGATTACTTGAAACATTTAATAAAAATTGGAAATTCTAGCCATAAAGTCCTGATTAATTTCACATTTGAAAAATGTCATTTTTAGTCTATATTGGATTTCTCTAATATGATTTTTATATTATGCTCATTAGGCTTTTTTATAAGCAAATTTGATTGTTTGTTTTCATTTGGCTATTTTTTTCTTCTCTTTTCCTTCCAAAAATCTCATACGTTGTTACTCTGAATAGCTAGCAGCTGTCTTTTACTTTTAGAGCTTGACATATTTCGTTGATAAATACAGCTGGATAAAGTTCTTTAACATATAAATAACTGGTTTAAAAAGTTTAGTGCTTATGACTTACTGAAACAGAACTATTGGCCTGATAGTCGTTGTCGTTTAGGACATCTTATAGACTTTCAATAACAGGCTTGTTGTGTTGCATGAAAATGAATATGTAATGTTTTCTTCAGTGTTTTAAATGTGTAAGCAAGGAACATGAAATGCTTTCTCCTTGGAACATAGTTTATCAAGGGGAAAAAAGAAGATACTAAAACATCTAGTAAGCTTAGATAAGCAAAATATCTGAGAAAAGGGTAGTCTTACTGATTTCTCTTTACAGGAAGACTCATGTTCAATGCAAAGAGTAAAGTGAAAGCTAGACTTCCACAAGATAGAGGTATTGATATTTGCCCTTTAAGCAGCTGAAGGCACTACGTTCTCATACGGGTTTACTACATTTGTCTTCCTTCCCTTTCAGCTGAGTTGTGTTGTTTTTTTTTTCCTGACTGTAGCCAGAGCTTCAGCTGTGATCATTTCTCATTCTTATTTCATATCCTAGCTGTATTATGACATTAACAAATATGTTGTTTCTATGTTGCATATTTATTGCTAAATTATTTTAATGACTCTAAACCAAACACTGATTTCATTTTGAGTAAAAATTTAATTCTTTTTTAGGAACATAAGGAGTAAAATACTTGGGATTAGTCCAAACATTTTGTTAATGCTTTGAGATACTTTTTTCTTCAGATTTAAAACCCTTCTTGAAATGCAGTTCATCACTGAAACTTAATTTTAACTCTTCTTGATATACATGTAGGCAGAAATGTTTGATACTGCTAGATTACATGCATGGTAAAACTGAGACCAAGAACAAACCCCTTCCTATCCCAAGTCAGAATAAGATTTGTCTGTTTAGTCATTGTATTATCAAGGTAACTTTAACACTCTGTTTTCCTTACACTTGTCTGAACGTTGTGATACTTGGAACTATAAATCTTAAGCTCTGGCAGTAAAGATCCCTTAAAAGGGGAAACTTTAAAAACAAACAAACAAACAAACACAAACTTCTTGAATCTCAGTACCTGGATACTTTATTCTCTTTTGAATTAACCAGGAAAAATTACTTGTTTGAAGTAATTGCAAAAACTGGTTAGTATTTTGCATTTCAGTTGCATGCAAGTACTTAATTGAGACCATTCCTGAAAATGCGCAGGTGAAGGAAGTTGCGTAACCATCATTTGGAAATCTTTGTTTGTCTCAACCAATCATTATGTATATATGCATCTATAAGTATTGTACTCATCAGCTCATAAACTTGAGTGAAAGAGGCTTAATACTGTTGTAATCTGAATGTCTGAGATGGGTCCCATTTCTTGTCCTGTGGAGAAATTGCTGGGTATCACCAACAAATCACTTGCCTTCTATGAGACCAACCATTTTTCCAAAGTTCTTCCCTACCTGTGTTCAGGATTCCTTCCTCCTTACTTCTTTTTACCTGAATAATGTACAGTTACAAGTAACTATAACTTATAAGCTAATAAAAAAAAATGCTAGTGAAGTGGACAAGGTTTTTTTATCAATACCCTAGAAACAGATAACTGTGCTTCATTATTTGGTAAGAAACAGGAGGTATTTTAATAAAGAGGTAAATTATAAATATTTTTATTGTGGAGAGTAGACAAAATCCAATTAACTTTTTATTGAATTATACAGAACAAATATTTGACAATAATAATAATAATAAGGAAGATTGAGGGGGGATAAGAAAGAAGTATGACTTGGGGGAGAAAGTGAGGAAGACAACAGGTATGATATTGGTCTATAATAACATCTGAAAGCTGAGGATAACAATTATTGGTGGGATATTTGCTCAACACTCCCCGCTTTTTTATTTTATTTTATTTTTTTATATGAACATTTTTAGATTTTCTTCTGTATCAGTTACAGAAGGTTCAGGTATAGTTCAATCCCACTTTTTTCCCCTAGTTGTCTATATTTCAAAACCCAAAGTTTCCTACATTCACATCTGGCAATCTAGTTAGTACCAAATGTAAGTTATTGTATGTATTGTATTGCATTCTTACACAGATAAAAATGAATTTGTAGTTAGTATTCACTATGTTCATTTGGAGAAGAAAAAAAAAAAAAAGAGAAGTTGTAGTAATAGCAGTATCAGTTGCAGGACTGACAGACGTGAGCTCATGTATCGATTCACTAGCCCAGCTCTCTGCTACCTGAGCAAAATTCAGCATTATTTCATCAGCACCATTGTTTTTGCAAGAGAGACCAGAAGATTTTATGATGATACATATAGCCTGAAGGGGCACAAGACAGAATTTCAAAGATGGTTGCATATAATATTCTATCTTAATTAGAAAGGTAGACTTTCTTCAATGTAAAGAAAGGGCTTCATGGTAAGTCATTACAGATAGTGAACGCTAATTCCACTGAATTACTGTTTTGCCTTTTCAGGTATATCCACTGCATTCTGATTTTTTTTTTTTCCAAATGTGCTGTTTTTTTCTTTTAATTAAATTGTCTTTATTTTTGGGTAAATATAACTTCGCTAGTTATGCTTTTTTTTTTTTTTTTTTAATTTCATAACACAAATAACATTTTCAAGAAAAGCTATACACACCTGAGTGTTTGCTGCTGTAACCTGAGTGGGTAGGGATCACAGAAACAATACTAACAAGTGATGATTAGTCAACAAAGATTGTTACTCTTGAGACTGTGCATGGCTCAAGAAACTGTAACGATCATGCTAAATGGCATGTAGGAGAATGCTTTGCACACTTTGTATTGCATTCTGAATTAAAGTGGAAAGATGCTTTAGATCACAATTGTTTTATAACTGTTGCAATTATGTTTTAACTAATAAGCTGAAAGATTTTTCAAACAAAAGACTGAGTGTGAATTTTTATCCTGGAAAAAAAAAAAGTGTTATGTGATTTAGATGATCTTCTGATAACAGTGGCACTTCCTATACAACGTACACACTAAATAAGAAGAAATAAAAGCACAGGAAAAAAAATAATTCAGGAAATATAGTAGTTCATTACTGCAATTTATCATCTTTAAGTTCAATATGTTACACAGGATATCATAAAAATATGTTGATGAAGTCTTGGTAAAGGTTTAACAAAAAAATTTAAATAGCATGTCTGCAGCTTTCTAATAAGAGCACGGATGAACTTCAAACTTTGCAAGGTTGAGCAAACAGACTGTATTGAAATCTAAACAACTGTCTGAATGGATGATTTTTTTTTTTTTCTCTCAAGTGCTGTAAATTCCAGTGCCTCCTTCTAGAATTCATCTTCCTCTGAATTCAGTAACTCACAAAAGATGAGAGCTACATAAGAAAGAACTGTTATACAGGTTCTTTGTTAGCAGCCTTCTAATGTCATGGTAAGTGACATCTTATCATTTAGAAAGAATTCAGTGTCTAACTTCACAGACTGGCTCAAATTAGATATGGATACTATTGGCACTTGGAGATAAGATGGAGCAGCAACAAAACTAAATGTTTTATTTTATGCTAATTGCCTGCAACTCAAAAAAAATGGCAAGACTATCGGAACGTTATGTAGAGACATCCAATCATTCCACCTTATGGCCATATTTCTGTGGTTTTCTGTTTTATATTTATCCTGCTCAGAAAACCATCTCCTATTACTTATTTTTTTTTCCTTTTTTTGTATGAAATCATCCATATTAGATCATGATTAGACAAATGTTCTCATTGTTTATGCATTTTAAAGTAGTGTGTTAAAATAGGGGACTTTTTTTTTTTTTTTATATGAGACTGAAAATTATAAGGTAATAGAAAATACAGGTAAAAACTAAAAATGTTAAAGATTTCTCTATGAAATGGTGTTTAAAACAAACAAACAAACAAAAAAAAAAACAAAAAAAAACACAAAGAAGGTGAAGGATATAAAATTCTTGTATACCATATGGAAGGGTAAATCTGTTCCCTGTTTAAGGCCAGACATTACTACCTGCAAAGTACAGAGTAGTTCCTCCAGCACCCAGGATTCCAATAGTAATCATTTGGAATTATACACCCATAATCAATCATAGTAATAGTATGCTGGAAGGGATGACTTAGGTCTCTGAATTCAGTTGTCTATAATCAGAGTATCTATCATAACAAATACTGGTTTAGGAAAACTCAGGTAAGGCTTTTTTCCTTACCTGCTCTTTCTCCTTGTACACCTTTGTTCCCACATGCTATATAAAGCATTTTATGATTAAGAATAATGAATATGAGATATGAATATAAGAATAATGAATAAAGAGATATTATATACACAATACTAAGATGCTCTTGGTTGAACTGAATGTATTAGTTTAAAACTAGTGTAATATTTATAAGTAATATTTAACAGCTGTAGTTAGGATTAGAGATTCATTGTGTTGTGTGTTTTGTGGAAATGAAGACTCAAAAAGTTTATCATCTTATCTGAAAATAACCCATGGAGTAAAAGTAGGACAGGGATAGTGAGTCAGGCTGGTCAGAGGCACAGGTAGTGTCTTTGTGCTATTTACAGATATACTATCTGTTCTCTAAACAGATAGTATTTAGATAATAAATCTTATAAATGTATATATATAATAAATAAAATAATATATATATATATATAATAAAATCTAAACATAGTCAATACTATGTTTTCTAAACTAAGTAAGAATGCTACTCACTTTATTATTAGTTAGGAGCTCAGTATCTTTTAGATATCAGAAAAATTGGGGGCTGAGGGGTCATTACATCTTTGGTTCCATGCATGTGTAAACTACACAACAACAAAGTTAAAACCTTTAAGAGGTTTTATGTTGAGAGGTTTAAGAGGTTTAAGTTGTATGAGGTTACAGAGTGGCCTCACTTGAAGAGTTCCAGTCATTCTGTTTTTCTCTCTAACAAAAATGGAAGTACATAAATCTCAAAGTCTTTGAGAGACATAAAATTATTTTGCACCCTACTTTAAATTAAAATATGCTCTCTCTGAAGTTATTTGCTCTGACGGAGCAAATTTTCTCCTCTTTCTTCTGGTAGAGTGTAAATTGGCACATGATTATTGTTTGTGCTGTCACCAAGAGAGTATGAAGGGTCCTAAGCAACAAGTATTTTACATTCATTGAGTGCTGAAAATGGAAAAGTAAAGGTTGTTGATGCAGAAAATATATCACATTTCAATTATATAGATTTTTTTTTTCCACCAAAAAATATTGGTGTGCGCATATTTCATCATTAAGCGTTAGACAGCAGCCCTGACTGTGTGTGCTGCCTTTGTGATCCCCAGGCCTGGAGCAGCGAAGCAGCAGCAGGGCTGTGCATAGGACGAAGGAGAAGCCCACACAGGAGGGACTACATCCTAAATAGCTGAGAACTCAGAAGAACCTAACTCTGCCAGTGAGTGTAATTAGCATTGCACCCATTTTACTTCATATATTTAGCAAGCTTTGTTATTTGCTATTTCTTTTAAAGACATATGAACTAACTTACATCCAGGAATTCCAATAAAGCCTTAATTTTTGGAAGATGCAGACTGGGAAACAAGCAGTTATAATAAATATTTGTTTCTACACAGGTACCAGCATACTGTCAAATTTCAAGGCCAATGGTTTTATAAGTTCAAAATATTCAGATAATGCCCCAGTTTGGCCACAGCCTTTCCACAAGGTGAACTGCTAAAAAGCACTGCCAGGTTAGTGATATCATGACTATAACTGCTCACCTCTTTATTCATTCGGTGATACTGGTATGCCCGGGAAAAACAAACCAAGCATGGGTAGTGGTTACTGGGGAGGTGTGCCCAAAAGCTCTCAACTACTACATCTGCTCATTCCTATTGCTTTAGCTATACACAGAAATAAAGAAGTATGAGTAAACTTTTTCACAGCTTATGTCCCTATAATGCATTTGAGGCAGTAAGCTAGAAGGCGATAATAGCCCCAGTAAGAACAGCTAGTTGGCTTTAAATATAGGAAAAATCAAAGGGATTGTCCTGGGCTGCTGTAACCAACAAGGCCACTGGCAACTTAAGCCAACCATCTAAGTCAGAGCCTGCAAATAACAAAAGCAGTAGCTCTGTGCGATTGAAGATGTGCCCACAGATTTCCAACACTGTGCCAAAGGCTGAGCCAGAAGTGAGGCTGCTGAATGCCAGCCTGGATGTGAAACTACCCATAATGAGTGTACTGGCCCCCCAAGTCCATGGAGCTGGATAGAGACTGGAGGCCCTGACTGGTGTGTGTTCTGTACAGATCATGCGTGCAAGTGATAAACTGGAAACTGCTCTAAACCAGCTGTGTCGTCCTGATTATTAAGTACTTCATTGTAGGTGGTGCATTTTACCCCTAAATTCCCATCCGGAAAGCCCAAAGTGTTAAAGATACAGAAAATTAGATGACAGTTGAAGACATAGTTGTGCTAATTTACTGGTTAGAGCTAATGTTGTAATAAAAAAGGTTTTGTTATTCTTTATTCTACAAGGTAAGTTACTATCCCATTTTGTTTAAAGATTAAAAAAGGCCCTGAAAAATACAAATCTGTTGTTTGTAAAGATGTTACAAGAGGCTTTAAATGAAAAGAAAATCATTTGGTTTGTACTCCAATTAAGTTACAGTAATAGTCATTAGTTTTAGCTTGGCTGAAAACATCTCTGAGAATTAGTGCTATTTTACTAGCTTTAAAAATTACCATTAAGTCAGGGAAAAGCAGCATTACCTTTCAGTGCTTTATGCAAACAACTTCCATAGTATTGTACAGAATGTGAAAAATAGAGTTTCTCATAAACGCAAACAAATATCAATAATTTGATACAGTATATAACCATAAATTACAATCTGTAGTGGAGAGGAAAGTTTGTGATAATATTAGTAATCGTGATTAGATTAGTATAAACAATATAGAATGTCTAACGTGACTACTAAATCTACCAAGGAGTAAACTGCATGAGAAGAAGAATTCAGTAAATGGAAGAAACATCAAATATCAAGTAAAAACAGATATTGTGTAATTAGCTATTATAACAATGTAGACAGAAAAAGCATAATTGCATTTTAAAAGTCTTCTGCCACGGCAAACAGTGAACCTAAACATCAATCAGCATAATCTGTCACATAATCATGATAAGAGGTTTCTGTGTGTGTGTGTGTTGTTATTTTTTTTTTTTCTCCTAGAACTAAGCATGGACCCTTTCAAGAAAGAGGACCTCTGCTCCTTTAAGACATTTAAGGTACTACTTGCAATGGAAGTTAGGCATTAATATAGTTTCAAAGATCTAGCAAAAGTTCCAAAATGTTTTTGATAATCTGGTCTATTCCATACTTTTTAGTTTCACTCTGTAGCTTCTGGCAATGAATTTCTCTTTTTCTCTAGCTCCTGTGGTCTTAAAGAAATAACATTCTGTGAGTACTCACAAGTGATACAGAGAGGCTTGCCTTCATTGTCCTTCAGCGAAGTTTCTAATGTGGGTCGAAACCGTTTCTGTCCATTTTCTTCTGAGGTAGGTTTCTAAAACTGCCACCATTGCACATGGACCACAACTTCGGTCATAAGCTGAATAGTTTCTGTGAGAAGTTCGCTGGAGAGAAAACAACTTTTTACTTGTCAGGAATAAGTCAAAATGCCGACCGCTTAACTTCTAAGATCCAGAAAATGCTGACATCTTAAATAATTTTCCTCAAATGTTCCTAAATTATCTAAATATGAAAAGGAACAAACACTCAAAAGGGATCCAATGAAAATATGCCTCTTGTTGCAAAATAATAATACTGTTTTAGTAGCATAGTACTATAAAAATTTTTAAATTCAGACTGCAATATGTTTGATATTCAGACTGCAAAATGAAAAAGTCAGTTACTGGAGTAATCAAGGTCTATTTTTAAAACAGATTATTTACTTTATGCAAGATTTTATACCTCCAGACTGTAATTATACAATGATAGTAACTATAAACTTTTAAAAACAATTTGAATATATTGTCATTGAATATTTTACTTAAAGATGACTAATAAGAAAATAAATGCATGATGATAAAATGTCATTTCTCCTCTGTATATAGTAAAATATTAAGTAGAATAACACAAATAAGTAGATTCCTCAGGCAAAATAAAATGTCTGTAGAAAAATATAGGCACTTAATATTGTTATTATATGTGCACGTTATATACACACATTCAGAGATATATGAATGTCTTTGGTTTACCTAATATCAAGGTATTCAGAATTCTGCAGAATCCTAATGCACATTCCTATTAAACTGGCAGTAATGTTATCAAATATGAATGTTCCTATGGCCCAAATGAATATTATTTTTTTTCAGTGTGTTTTGCTTGCTAAAAATAAGTGAAAATAAAACACAACAAATAATTGAGCCACAGGCCCAAGTTGTTTTGGTATGAGAAAGTTTGGATATAATGTGGGAACACATTTGGCCACTTCGGCAGTGATTGACAGGGTGTGTATCTGAAAAAGAGCCTATGAACAGCATGGATTACTGATTTTATTGTAATGCTGTTCTGCTGAAGACACTCAGCGAAGCCATCATGGGCTACCTGCTGCTATGTAATTTTGTTTTATTTTGGCACATAGAAGTGAGAAGATTTCCATGGGACAAAAAGAGAGCTGCTATCTGACTGTGACTGACAGCACAAAACATTGAAACAATAATCCACTGAGATCATTTATGTAAAAAAAGGAACCCAGAGATATTCAGCCCCTGAGGCTTCTCTTGTAAGAGGCTATTATTATTTGTATTGATTTTAGTATGCAAGCTCTCTCTTTCCTTCCCTCTCCTGGCCCACAGTGCAAGCTATAAATAATAAACTAAAGAAGTCTCCGTGAAACCATCACTACCTTTGCAGCACATTAATTTTGTGCACCTCCAGTTATAAAACTAGGAAAACCATGGGGGAAATGAGCAGGTTGAATGAAGCCTTACCTCTGCAACCAAAGAAAGTATTTTCTAGCATTCTCAGCTCTCATGAAGACCTCCTTAGATACTAGTAGCACAGAACTACTTAAAGACAACATGAAAGTGTCCCTTTTTGGTGCTAGTTCTGTTCTGATTGCTACGTTCATCAGGAACTTCTGTGTTATCTTGTACATCAGCCAATATCATTAAGTATTGTGTTGCTAAATCCCAATATTGACAATGCATCTTGAAAATTGGGACACTTGTGCTCACTATTCTAGTACATAGGAATTAGCATCAACACACGTGAGATTTTTTTCCCCTTTTTGTCTGGTTCTAATAATATTTGAGCAGAATTATAAGAATTAGAGATGGAAAACATCATATTGGCTGAAATATTGGCTTCCTTCATTTCCATTTGAATGTTATTAAAAAGGATGATAAGATTTCACTTTGAGAATATTAGGTATCTATTCCATGCTTATTTCACCTTCCTCTATATTCCCTAGCTTTTTTCCAATTCTGTTTTTAATGTGTAAAATGATATATCTATCACATCATAATTGAGAATTTAAGAGTTTTGGTAGGTTTTAATGTAATCCAAGCATAAGATCTTTCTACTAACCATCTCCATGGAAATACAGAGCCATGTATGTGGTATAAAAGGTTATATTCTGGATTGAGGCTATTTGTGGTGGGTTGACCTCAGCCAGCAGCTAAGTGCCCATGAGCCACTTCCTCAGTCCCTCCCCAAATTTTGTCGTTGAGCATGGTACTCCATGGCATGGGCTATCCCTTTGATCAGACTGGGTCAGTTGTCCCAGCTGTGTACTTTCCCAGCTTCTGGTGCACCCCCAGCCTCCTTGCCGTGGGGCCACTGGGAAATGGAGAAGGTCCTGATGCTATGCAGGCACTGCTCAGCAATAGCTAAGATGTTTGTGCATTATCAATGATGTTTCAGTCATAAATGTAAAAAAAAAAAAAAAAAAAAAAAAGCACAATATGGGCTGCTATGAGGAAAATTAACTCCATCCCAGTCAAACCCAGTACACCTTATACGTATCAATCTTTTATTTATGAAAAAGCAAAGATATAACAAATGCATTTATGTGAAGCAAGCGATGACAATATAGCCAACACAACATCCACTTTCTGTCAAAGAAAGATCAAATAGCTTTGTGAATGAAAAGCCTGCATGCAATATATTCCAGTGATCCTACAAGGAAGTTGTCAAAAACTGGTGAAGTAATGGTGGAAACCTGATAATAAAATGCAGTTAAGTCTGAGAATAAAAGAGGATTTCTTCTGTTCCTGTTTTGACCAGAATAGATACAGAGTCCCGATGAGTTTTAGAAGTTGATCCTTCACTGATGCTTGCAAAATTGAGACGTATGAGAGACAGTGGAAGAACTAAAAATTTCTACCCTGCATAAAATTCAAGTATTGAATGTAGGGATTGTTTATTTGTCATGAAACTAGCATGTCTTTGTTGCCATATTTTCTGTCTTTGCTGTTTGGCATGTACACTTGTGATCTTTTTTATTTCTGTCAGGAACTTGTGATAAATAACATTGAGTGTGAGCACGTGATGAATCCTGGAGATACTGCTGAAAACATTCAGTGATTTTTCTGATAGTAAAATATTTTCTGATAGTATTGTAGCAACTGTGTGGTCTTAGAAATGTGGAAATAAACTGAACAACTGAATAATCAGAAATGCTTTTGAAATGTGCTGGCTAGATGGATCTGGATAGATGTTACACTAGGGATCAAATTCATCCTTTTCAGTGTCATCTTAGTGATATTATCATTCAGGTGAAATATTAAAGTTACAAGGAGAAGTTGCCACAATAGGGACCTGGCTGAAAAATGAATGTAGCTTATTTTTTTCCTCTGTTCCAGTTGGTTGGTTCGTATAGTCCTTTACTTTCCTGCTGTAGTTAGGGATAACCCTCCAAAGTGTGCAATTAAGACTTTCTTTTACAGTGATTTTCTATACCAAAAGCACCTCAATGAATACATTTTAATCCTTTTTATTTCGACAATGTGTGTTAGGCATAACTATAGCACGATAAGTCATTTGACTTACAGGCTACCTCAAAAAATTTTCACAAAATCCTCATGACCGTAGAAAAGTAAAGATGTATTGAGCACCAATGGGCTGACTTAATTGGTTGCAGTGCATTTGAAATGTGATGTAGGATGATTTAATCAGCCTATGACACTAATGGAGTTAAGCACTCTGTCCACTAGAAAATGGTATCATCTTTCATTGAGTTCCTAAGTGCCTGTTTATGGAACTTTTGAAGGTGCTTTATTGCTGATCATACATTGCCATCCATCGTTGAGACTACAGAAATGAAAACAGCTACTACAAAGCAAGAGACATGTCAGATGCCATGAAGTAAATATAATTTGAGGGATGATAGCTATTAACTGATTAAATAAAAATCCCTAATCTGTGAAGTGTCAAGTATTCATACTGAAATGACAAAACTGGAATTGAGATACATTGTTTCTTTAAATTTTAATACCAGTTAGTGCTTTCTCCTAATGTTTTATTAGATGGCGAGCTACCTTGGCCAAACTGTGCTTGAAATTAAGGAATTGGACAAATACGTAACATAGTATTAAGATCTCTCTCATCACTCCACTTGCAACAGGTCAGGTATCTGCATCTATCTGGGCTATAATGCTGTTGTGAGGAACCAAATGCACCAAATCTTTGCTGTGTTTCACTATCAATTCACTCATTCAGTGAGAGGTCTGTGAAACTTACTGTGCAAGAGTCTGTAAAATAATTAGGATCCAAATTGCAAGCAAATGTCCTTTTGCAAGCACTATTGAGGAAATTTACATTAACATCTCTTAGGCAAGTAACTTAGCTTTGCTGTGCCCTAGTATTGTTTTGCATTAGTGGCAAAAGCAACTCCAAGAGATAGCTGTTTTTGAAATGCATAGCAAACTGATGTTACCAAGAAATACAGAGTTTGAGTGCTTATTTTCTGATAACCTGGAGACAAAAGAAAAGTGCCTAGAAAGGCAGCTGAGTGGGGGCTGTGGTAGTGCTAGACATGTGCAATTGCATAGTGCTAAAAGCTTGGAAAGCATTCGCCAGAAACATTCCAAGGTCACAAGAATATATGTTAGTGATTCAGAAAACAAAAGAAAACAAAACAAAACCAAAGAACACAAAACAAAAAAGCACAAACAAAAATACAGCCAAACAGATCAGAATGTAAATGTCTAAACACTGCCTAAATAGCATGTACAACACCTGACTTTTTTCTTGCAGATTGTTCAAGATTCTGATTTTCTCTCCTAACTCCTGTTTATGGTTTTCAAATCAAGAGCTGTTGCTTTGTTTCAGATTTGCATAAGTCACTGTACTTTTTGTCCAGATGCTTGAAAATTTATTTCTGGGCATACTGAGACATACCTCCAAGTGATAAGCAGGTCAGCACAGGTATATCATGCCTAAATCTAATTCAGATCGCTCTGTGCCTAAGTTAATATTAACTGAATAGCTTAATCAATTGAACATTAATTGAATAACAAGAGTGCTCATCTGAAACCTCTCTGCTTCTGAATAATTCAGCCAGAAAGGTAGGTTACTCTCCTGTGAGGTATGAAATATCTCATCAGATGAAGAAGCAGCTCTACCTTTTCACCTTTGGAAGTGATGAATGATGTTGGGGACTGTGCTATCCCCACATTTTTTTTCTGATCACATTTCAAAAGAAAAATCTGGTTTCTCGCTTTCTTTATGAAGGAAAACACAAAGATCTACCACTAGGTCAGCTAATTCCCAGAGGTGAGTAGGATTTGAGCTGAACTTACAGTGCTTCCTAGTGGCTGCCTTGGACTCATAATTTTGTCTTGATCCTTACCTGTAACGGTTTTCCTGCTGCTGTACAGGCCAGGATATACTCAGCACTCTTATGAATTTAGTTCAGAGAGGCCATAGGCCACTATATATAAAACTGAGGCAAACAAAAAGACTTGTCTCATATGTTTTCATCAAGGACTCAGCAAAAGATTCCCTCAGAAAAGTAGCAGAGCCAAAATCACGTACCAAGTTTCTAAAATACTTCTGTTTAAAGTTATTAATTTGGTTACTTTCTGTGAAATGTAGTGATATTCTAACAGTTGTGTTCATGAAGAGAAGAGCTGTCAGCTAAAAACACAACACAGATCTTGGGCAATGAGTTCAAAACAGAAAATCGGGGGAAGGAAATTATTCAGATTCTATTTAGCACCTAATGCCTGTGGGAAGAACATGACCAAGCCAAAACTGGAAGGGGAAAAGAGGTGAAATCTGTTTTATAACTTATCTGTCACACCTTGTTCATTCTGCTCTAGCTCAGTACTGCTGTCGGGGAGAAGAAACATGAAATAACTTCCACGTTAATGCACTCTCAGTAGAGAAGTGTTTCCAGATATATATGTAGTGCTGTAGT